GCACTTTGGATGGGTTAAATGCAGAGCGGTCACCATACTTGGCCACATGTCACTTCACTTAAATGTACCCTTCTATATTTTCATCAAAAATACTTAAGTGTAGGATTGGTCAAAATGTCTATAACGAGCCTAAGTCACGAGATTGACTATCAACTCACCTTCAGTTCCTCGACCGTGGCTTTGATTTTGGCATATCCCATATGCTGCTTGCCCATTAGATGATCATCCACTCTGGACTGTGCATCACCCACTATGAGGAAAGCGCCACACACTTCACACACCTCCATCTGCTTCTCCTGAGCTGCAAAGCTCTCAATCGTCTGACAAACAAGAAAACATGTCAGTGCCAACACGTGCTTGTCTTGATTTCAAACTTGACATAAGTATATGTTCAACAATTAAATACAAAAACAGGACATATGTCTGCTTAAAACTGGATGTGTAACTCACTGAAGGATTGGAACTGAGCTGCTCCCTCTCCTCCTTCAGCTGCTCCACCAGCTTCATCATGCCCTGCGCCTCCTCAACACGGCCCTCCGAGCCCAACTCCTCAATCTGAGCACACAAACACACATTTATATGCCTCTCCAACAAATTCATGCTTATGTCTCAGCTTATGACACTAAGAACCCACCTGAAGAACAAGCTCCTCAATCTTCTTGGTGAGGACCTGAGCTTTCTCCTCATTCTTCCCAGATGGACCCGGTGCCTGGAAATCAAGAGTTCAAAGTGAGTTGGGTTTGACACGCCACGCAGCATACAAGCATAGTGTAGATTTAACTTTTAGGTTATAATAAAAGCTGCATATGAATATAATGCAGAAAAAATATGGTAATATAAAGATGTAAAGTCAGTGAAGGCTATGGAAGTGCTTACTCCAGAGTTCTGCTGGGCTTCTGACAGGGCTAAACGCGCATGGCCCCTCCGAATCCTGCGCTCCACCTCGGCCAGGAGACTCTGCAGGTATCGCAGGAAGTCTCGCTCATATCCTTCCTTCATAAAGCGGGAGCTCTTCTCATACCTAAGACAATGTGTGACAATCAGGAGTCACAGGCTTAAAGAAAATCATTCCAAATAAGATTGAATAAACAAAACTATACAAAAATAAAGTATATATATATATAT